AGATCTCCTTCCAATTCCGACTCCACATTAATCCCATTGTCATCCCTTATTTTCTTTCATTTCCCTGCAGACATCCATTCAATTTTCGTCTTTACCAATAAACCTGAAATCATTTTTATGCACAATGCTCTAAGTTGAAGTCTTTCTTTTGGTATGTTGTTTGGCTTTCAGGAAAATACAGCAGCTTGATCTAATCGCTTCTAATTTTTCATGTGTTGTGTGTTTAATACGTGCGAGGGTTTTACAATTTTCATTGTCACATATGGTCTCAGAACTTATATCTTGAATCTTTTTTATTGGTTTTATGTCGCTTAAGGTTGATCCGGTGAGCTGGAGGTATTAGATGGAATGGAGCTGCATTGCCGACTAAAGAATCAGATGAATTCAGGCCATTTACTTGGAGTCTTTCAAGAATTCCCAAATATGGACAATTGCAGATATATTAAGTGGTGGGATAGAAAGTAGCTTATTTTTATTTGGGTTTATGGTTTCAGGTATTCCATCACAAAGGCTTTCTGTATGGCCTTCCTAATGACATTATTTTCTGTGTTTGATGTTTCTGTCTTCTGGCCCATATTTCTTTGCTATTGGGAAGCTCTGTTTGTTCTCACAATGAAGCGTTAGATAAAGCATATGATCAAATACAATTACTTTCCATTCAGCATAGGAAAGCAGGTAAGATCTTGTAATTTTTGTTACCCGGCCTTTTGTTTTTGTACATGGGGCATTGTAATTCCTGTTGGTGTCTGTCATTGGAGCGTGTTTACTTCGTTTCCCTGGCCTTCAACAGAGGTATACTGGGAAGAATGCAGCTGCAAGTGGTGCAGGACATCCAAAGCAGGTTGAGGAAATTGCAGTTGGATCACTTGAGATTTTAGGGGTAGGAGTTAATTACTTTGGAGAGTCCATTTTGTTTTGAATTCAATGATCCATTCCTCTCTCGTCCATTGTATTTTCAATGATTTCAAATGTGGCGAATAAAAAGCAGATATCTTGTTTTCAGCCTTGTTTACAAGTTTTTGAGTGCCAGCAACATTCAGGTTCATCAATTAGGTATAGCAGCAGTTACCTAGATCAATATACTCTATTCAGGTCCCTCTAGATCTGATCTATAGTTTTGTGTGCCTCCTGGCTGCTTCAGATTTGGAGGGCTCCCGCTTGTGGGTGAGGCTGGCAATAGTAGTGCTGGCTGCATTTTTACCTGGTATTGGCTTTGTGAATGGTGCGAGGGAGGTCTGGATAATATCTGAATTCATCAAACAGGTGTTGTTAGGCTTGATTATTCATGATTTGGGTTGTAATTATATCATCTCCTCGATGGTAGTTGGGTAGCCCGCAGGAATTGACTGGGGCAAAATATATGTTGCCAGGTGTGTATCTAATCATTTTGACATTGCTGTTCTAACAACTCTCTAACAACTGAAGTACGCAAATCCCTTGCATTCGTTTTATTGATGCAAAAAAAAAAAAAAAAATGGTAGGGTGTGTTAGTTGTTTCCATTTTAATAATGACCATAATTCTTTGCACATTGGCCAGCTAAGTTTTTGAAGTTTCTCTTATTCCCCTCTTATTGCTTTATCTTCCCTCTGGCTCTAAGCTTGCAATAAAGCTCTCAGGTAGGCGATCAAACTCCATTGGTACTCCAAAAAATAAAAAAATGACTGGGAGAACATTTGTGACGATATTTTTCTTCTGGGCTGCTCTCACCGTCATCACCCCTACTCTTGTTCTCTGGTCGGAATCCTCCAAACCAGACATGGAATTGAATGGTAAGAGCTGGAAAATCTTTCACTTCTTAGTCATTCATTTTAGTTTGATATATTGATATTTTGAATTGCTGTTTCTCCTATCCTTATCTGTTTTTATTCCAAATTTTGCTAATTTCATTTGCATTTCACTTTTGAAGGTGAGAAGAGTGAAAGATTAAAGGATAGGAAATTGATTGGATATCCAGAGGCATACTCAAGAAATGCAACAGTGTCTTCCAATCAACTGGAGACAGCAACACCAGCACCAGCACCGGCACCGGCACCAGCGCCAGCAACAGAACTAGACTTAGCTCTGATGACTAGAAAGCCTGCTGAACAAAGTCTTCTGGAAAGCAACAACACTAGCAATCCGCCTCTGTTAGAACCAACACAAATTAGCTAGCAAGTGAAAATGCCCAGACGTCTCGGTCTACAATCAAAATTTTCTTGAAATTCCAAGCAACCCTTTTGATGCAAGTCCTCAAATTCATCAGGTTTGATTCGTTCCATTCATTTACTGAAAGAAAATTATACATGTATAATGAAGATTGGAGCAAATGCTTGTAGATATTTCATCGATGTATACAGATTACAGAAAATTCCTGCATTTAATTTAAGAAATTGTTAATGTTTTCTTGTGACAATAAAATTGTGAGGAAGCTAACAACCGGGGAGAGTAGGTGAAGAAAAAGGAACCAATGATTCTTAAGATTGATCGAGTACTCTAGAAAACAGCATAATCCTTTTTTATGTCTTGAAAACCCATTTGGAATATTGGTTTCAGTTTGGTGCTGGACAGGTTCTTTTAGAAGATGGTTTGTTTTGACCTGGTGCAAATTGTCCAAGTTTGGTAGAAGGAGACTAGTTCTCTGAAATTGACAAGTTAACTGTAAGTTCTAACTACCGCTTCAAATTCGAAGCTCTGTTATTTGGATTGTTACAAATATTTATGCAGAATATAACAATGATCATAATCTCAAGAATCCACAACAATACTCTGTTCATAGATAACAAGAAACCCATGAACACACAAATTTCTTGACATGAAACCAATTATTTCAACTTCCAAGATCCCAATTGTTCATTTTCAGTAAAAAGGGAAGCTTTTTTTTCTCGCCTTCTGGAAGATCAATCTTTCAAACAAATTGGGTTAGGTATTCTTCAATGGATGTGTACTTTCACATCTGGATAAACCTCAGAAGCCTCCACCCCACGTGCTGGTTCAATCTCATGGTTGGTATGATCGCCTTTCATGAACACTGAGTGATTGAATGATATTTTAACTCTAACCAGAAATGGAGCATCTGCAAGCAGGCACCAGTAAAAGCCAAGAGCTCAATAAGTCACTTAGCGTGTTATTCATTCATAAAGCCACAGGACATTATGGAGCAGGGTGTTATATTGATTCCCCACTTACCTCGTATATCTTTAACCATTTGCTCCTCCGAAGTGTAAGTTTTCTCAAGGTTTTTCCCAATCAACTTCTCCCAAATGGTGATGAACTCATTGAAGGAGACTCTGTCCTTAATAGGCCTAATGTATTGGCTCTTTGTTCAGTATTCTTGTATCATCAACAGCCCTAATGGTGTAGATTGCAATGTCTTCTTCCGCGTTAAAAACACCTGTAGAAAAAGCAGGAAGCGAGTATTGGCATATCCCGCGTTATTTAAGCCTGGAGTTTTTTTATGGTCCCAGATTCAACTGCATCCTCAATAGTTGCTATGACATTGTCTCTCGGGGTAGTGGTGGCTCCTGGTTATGGTAAAGCAGGTAGAAAAGAGCCTGCAGATTGGGAGCAGTAGACATAGGCGTAAGGGATTCCCTCTGCTTCAATAGCACGGCGGACCTAGCCTTGAGCAGAAATACTGATTTTCCTGGCTCAACCTGCTCTTCAGCATTAATTCGATCATAATCATTTCCAAACTCAGAAGGGAAGAATCTCTGACCAAATTTCACTAGCATTAGAATGGCCAATTGATGAGTTCACAATTTATGATCAAATTATTGTAGCAACATTTTCAGACACTAAAATGAACTTCAAAAAATAAAAGAAAAAAATTAAAAGGGTTAAGCTTGAGAGAAGTCACAGACCTTGATGATCCCAGCTTCTTTAATGGCTGCAATGATTTTACAATGTATTTAAAAAAATTAATTAATTTATTAAGAAATGATTTTTGTACCATTTTTTTGTATAACTTGATGTGTCATTTAAATGATTTGTTCTTTTAATTCATGTGAAACTCATGATATTGAATGCATCTACTTATTTAATGACATGCGAAAATTGTATCAAAAGATAATATAAAAAAGTTATCTCTAAAGCACTACCATAATTTATTTATAAAATACATTTATTTATCAATAAATTTAACCCTTTAATATCCTTCTTCCATTTTAAGGAAAAGTTAGTTTTTACCATAAAATTTATTGTGAATTATGGCCATAGCAAAATATTTATAGGTAAAGATCTAGCTTTTCTTATATTATTATTTTGGGCTGCATAATTAAAAACAAACCATCTCATTATCTATTTCTTTACTTCACTATCTTATTATATGATTTAAATCCAACCTATTATCGTGACTGAAAAGAGAGATTACTAGCAGCCGCTAAGATTGTTAGTTAAAGGTCTAGCTTCTATTTATCTTAAATATGATAATAAACATACTAAAGGCATGCACATACACAAAAGGGTTTTGCAATATGAGATTTAGTAAATACAAAAACAAGCCCATATAATCAGTTGCTTTAATTTAACATGACTCATATAGAAGAGCAGAGCAGCTCAGCTGCAAGAGTCCACAAAACTCTGCTCGAAGATAACAAGATACTGATGAACCACACACCAATCCTATTCCAGTGCATAAACCTCATTTCAGTTTTTTATATTTAAGAAACCGAGGAGAGCTTGGTGGACCGGTTTCTTTTAAACATATTGTCTCAGGTATTCTTCCACAGTGGTGTATTTGACATCTGGGTATAGCTCAGAAGCCTCCACTCCAAATGATGGTTCGATCTCAAAGTAGGTGTGATCGCCCTTCACCATGACTGAATGGTTGATTGCTAATACAACATTAAGTGGAATTGGAGCTTCTGCAATTATGGATCAAAAACAAACGTTAAGTTAATATAATCTCCTCCCCTGTTATGTTTATAATGCAAAATTGCAAATTGAATGCAATTGGGAGAGGGTATAAGGTATTGATTCTTCACTTGCCTTGAATGTCTTTGAGAATTTTCTCCTCTGGGATGTAACTTTTCTCCAGGGTTTTCCCAATCAACTTCTCCCAAATGGCAACAAGCTCGTGGAAGGAAACAGTGTTCTTAGGAGGTTTAATATACAGGATCTTGTTCAGTGTTCTTGGGTCATCGACTGCTCTGATGGTGTAGGTTGCGATGTCCTCTTCCTTATTGAAAACACCTACACATAAAACAGTGTTGCCTTGAAATGAGAAAAGGATCTAGCAGAGCTACGTGCACATGAATCTGGCACTTGAAAACTTTGTTACCTTTCACATTTCCATCTCCCAGGATAACAACCTTGTCTCTGGGGGGTGTAGTGGCTCCAGGTTGTAGCAAATTAGGGAGAAAATACGCAGCAAAGTAGTTGGCGGTAACATACGTGTAAGGGAGTCCTTCAGCCTCAACTGCTCGGCGGATTTGAGCTTTCATAGCAAATGCTGATTTTGCTGGCTCAACAGCTTGAACTCGATCCACATCATTCCCAAACTCTGAAGGGAAGAACCTCTGACCAAAATTCACAACCATCAGAGAAAAAGGAAGAGGAAGAAACAAGGATTGAAACAAAGACACCAACCTTAATGTTTCCAGCTTCCTTAATTGCAGCAATGATCTTAACCTGATCTGCAATCTGCATGAACCCCACTGTGGATATCACAACATCCACTTGTTTTATTGCCAGAACCAAACTCTCATGGTTGTACAAATCTCCCTGCAGGATTTTCACAAACACCACAGGAACGTTAATCCTATGGACTCGTCAATTCTTCAAAAACCCTTTAATACATCAAGAATCACTTACATATAGCAATGTGACACCCAAGTTCTTAAAATTCTCCACAACTTTTCCCTTAAGAGGATCAGAGACAGTGCTCTCCCTGACCAAGGCAAAGGTGGGATGGCCGGCCTTTGCACTGGCTTCAACAATGAATTTTCCGATGTACCCAGTTCCTCCAATGATCAGAATCTTGCTTTTCTCAGCCATTGAAGCACCTTCAAACTACAGTAATAGGAATGGGTCAAATATGGTAAAGTAACAGTGGGTATGAAAAGGTTTGATGCTTATTTCTTGAGTTTGGCCCCTCTAATATAGATCAATTAATATAGGAAATGACCAAATTAATTAGACTTTTTTTTTTTATTTGGCCATGACCAAATTAGACTTTTTTTTTTTTAATTTGGCCATGACCAAATTAGAATTTAGTTTCTAATAAATTAGGGAATCTGTTACGTTGTCCAAGGAAAAGCGTAATTTTCAAGCAAAAAATTATTATGTTAAGATGTCTCTTTTAATCAATTTATAGAATGAAAAGTCAATATTGCCCATACGATTCTCAGTGAAATCTGTATTAGGTAAAGGTTCGGTAAAGGGTAATCTTGATATTTTTAAGCTAATTCACATAAATTACGAATTCTGGTAGGAACTACAGTAAACCTTAAATTAAATTATTATTTATATGAAGTGTTTTACACGCCATGTTAGAAACTGGATGAACATGGCCATTATGCTGGGAAAATTCATTCCTCTAATTTTGTTTATTTATAAGATTATTACTACCATCTAGAAGCAGAACAAAACGAGTATTTTTATTATTTTCTCAATCTATGGTTTTTGATTGGCAAGCCTTTTTTTTTTCCCCCCATGTCTAAATAAAACAGGTAGAAATTAAATTAAGTTAAAGTGTTCTTTTATTGAATTTTTTTTGGAGCAGAAGATGGAGGGTATTCCAGAACGTTTGATAACTGCAAATGCAAGTTTGATGGCTTTCTGCTTATTATGTTTTTGAAAAACCAGTTGGTGTAAGGGGTAAGAAACCATGATGATATTTATGCTTTCACTTGAAACTTCCAGAGGAAATATAGTCGTTGAAAAGATAAGCCAAAGGGGACCAAGAGGAGAGAGTCTCAATCATAAACTACAGGGAAAAAGTTGAATGAGGTAGTTAGCATATTAATTTGATTTTTGGACACCTTACCTAAGCGTAAATTGTTAGGTTAAACCGTTCATGAATTAAAAATATTTAACAAATGCGTAATGATTACTAAAAAGTAAAAGTAAAAGAAAAGAAAAGAAAAGAAAAGAAAAGAAAAAAACCTCTTTTTTATAGAAGGACAAGATCTCAGCTCTAGACTGTTAATGCCAACCACTGAACATAACAAGTGACATTTGTTTCCCAACAAGAGTAGATAATTAGGACCTGTAAGGCTCAAACTTCATGTTCCCACCCTCTCCTACTCCCTCCCTCAATAATTACCTACCTCAGATAAAATAAATAAATAAATGATTATTGGTTATAGGTCATTAAGATTAGTTGTTCTTGTTACTTATTCTCCACTTTTTTAGGGATGACTGTTGAAACCCATTTGAAACGGGTCGGGGCAGACCGGGTCCAACTGTTCCCACCAATTATGTCCCTTGTCACTTAGGGCTGGGCTTCATTGCTCGTGAGTTCTCTGGACCAAGTAACCTTCTTCTGGGTCTTGGGTCTTAGGTCCAGGCCCTGAACTTTGATATTCAGCATCTAGTACACACGGTGCTGCAGAATCAAGAAACCAGAAGACAACATTTTCACGAGATTACTGAAATTTCAAAATAATAACATTAAAAAGAATACTTTTTTTTTGTCAGAAAAATGCTTACCTTTGTTTCGCTGGATCTCCCCAGTTTTCCCATCCCTGGGGCAGCACCACATTAGACATGTAGGTTTGAACAAATACGACTTTAGAATATGCACCCCACGGCCTGCCTAACACCGTGCTCTCGACTCCGGTAATATTGCAACCCAAGAATATAAACCCTGTGTTCTTCGATGGAGATTGCCTTTGCTGTGCTGTAATCGCTCTGGTTCCCTCAGAGAGTGAACGCAAATGACATTTCTGCAAAACCCCTACAAACAGTCTGTAATATGTTATCCAAATCCTGAAATTGCTTTGTACACAATTAACATAGCTAGACGAAATATTTCCTTTAATTACCTCAAAAAGAGAATAGGCATTGGCGCATTGCCACAGTTAAAATCAACGGCTCCTTCGATGTAGCAATTGCTATAGTAATGTCTTCCATTGTCATCAAACAATGTGTCCTGTTAAGATAGAATCTTGCACCCAAAGAAAGCTGCCCTGTCTGCTGATACCCTCAACGCAACGGCTCTTGCACCGGTCCCATATGTATTCTGCCATGAAAAAACAAAACCACATCCATAACATTAGCTACACTAATGTTTACAGGCACAAAATGTATTCCTCTGACTAGGGTTATCGCCCTTTACCTGAATGGTAAGGAATCGGCCAATGAAATCGGAAGCCTGAACGGAGAACGTAGGAGATTGCAATATATCCCCACTATCATTCCAAGTTATGATTGTCTCACTTGCCTTTGTTCCACTTATTGTAATAAAGGGCTTATCTACCGTAACAACAGTCTTCCCTTTATACACACACACCAGGTCTGACCAATATGAATACGCTATACGTCCTCCAAGTTGTCAGGCGGCACAGCATCAATGGCATCTTGGATTTTTTGGTAGTCTCCCTTCCCATACTGATCCACTCTAATGAGCCGCGCAGGCACGGACCTTTGATCTTCAGCTCAAGCATAACAGACCATAATGTTCAGAATGAAAATCGCAAAGAAAATATACGAGCAGGAGCCATTTTTCGTGTTGGTTTTGAATCAAACTAAGCAAAAAAACGTACACTAGTGGATACATATGCAAAATGTTGGAATTAGAATTTTCTTTTATACTGAAGGAGAACCGTTCTCTTGACATGGAAGTCTGAGATGCATAAATATAATTAGAAATTCAAGCAACTTCAGAGGTGGCCTTTAAACAGAAGTCATCGGCGAACAGACATTTTGGTTGATGATTTTTATGTCTAAATGCTTTTAATAGGTAGAATTTTTTTTTTTTTTTTCTGGTTTCTTCGTTTGTTTGTTTTGAAAGTAAAACGTGGTTGCTCTGTTTGAATTAAGACCAAAGCAATAGATGTTAGAAGAAGGAGTAATTCAGGGGAGCCTTAAACAGTAGCCTTAGACATTTTTGTGTTGAATCTCCTTATTGCTGCCTTGTTTTACTGGAACTTTACGATTTTGAGCTTCGACCAAATTCTATGCCGTCTTCTGTTTCCTTAAGAGGGTACTTTGATTCCGGCGTTCATAATGTTGGGCTTTGTTCGGTACCACCGTTTTATATATTTATTTTTTTATCCTCTATTTGGGTTGTTGAGGCCCTTATTTCATGATTGAATAGAGGTCAAGGCCCAATGTAATAATCTTCTCTCTCATTTTGTTGGGCTCCCCAATTACATAGTTTTCGAATTTACTGGGTTTGGATTTAGGGTTTTTTTTTAAAAAAAAAAAAAATTAAATAGTAACTGTAGAACGGTTAATTCAACAATTAAGAATTTTAAATTTTAAATTGAAAATATCAATTTAAGTTTTAAGTTAGATGAAAATGAATTTGAGCATATGAGAGGATTATCCCTTCTTATATACTGTGTAATCTAATGTAAAAAAAAAAAAAATAGTAACTAAAGAGTAAAAGACATGATAAGAAAAGGATTAACAAAATGTCCCAATAAATAATATCAATGATATAACGTTTTGATGGAAGATGCATGCCACCGAATCTTATCGCATAGAATATGCCAATCAAATTCATGTCGAGGCATCAGGCAAGGCTCATACCTAGACCCAACTAGATCTATAGAAAAACTTGTCATATATATGTATACATGAAACCAATAGCAGAAGACCAAATTAAGCTGTCTTTTCTATATATACCCCACTAGGACATCGAGATGTATGCGGTGGTTTGGTTGGTGAGTGGTCCATAATGTTTATTGAAAAATGGACTTAAAACAAAAAAAAAAAAAAAGCTTCGGCTTAAAAAGAAAGAACAAACAATTACATTAAGCCGTTAATTTCATAAATACATACTTAGTGCCCACAAAGACTTTGGTTGGTCATATACTTTAATCTAAAGGGTCTTTAATTATTGGTGAGAGGCAAATTTTTTAATATTAAAATAATATTTTATCTATCAATAATTATAAATTATGTAATTTGTGCAAAAGTGACTACAAAATTATAAACTCTTCAAGTAAAATAATAATACAACAAGGACCCCTTGTATAAGTCTCCTAGCATCTTTTCACAGAATTTTTTTTTATTTAATATTTAAATTCTAAATTTTATTTAAAAAATAAATACTTTTCATTCAAATGTACGTATCATTATTTTCTCTTAATAATATTAATAAGTCTAGGTTGCGGGAAAAAAATTAAGGTTACTCTACCATACCTTGAACAAAGGAGCGGCGGCGACCCATTGCAGGTACGATTTAAGAAAACATCCCACTTAGCCCTAATTTTCCGGATGATTAGCCCCACATATGCAGAATAAGCCTATAAGGGGACTGTAGGCTCTACATTTGACACAGACAAAATCATGATAAGGAATAAACCATGTTGGCTTGTGCAGCAGTGTGTTCTTCCTGCTCGCCAGCTAGACGAATTAATGGAGAACTGATGAACTACACAATTGGAGTGATTAGTTTTTATATATTTTGATATTAACTCATAAAATAATATTTATTTATACTAAATATAGTTTTTAAAGTTGAAAAGTTATTTAAATAGTAGTATAATAGTACTACTATAATTTTTTTGGGCTAAGATTTGTTGTATTTCCTCAAATGGAATAAATAATTTGCTTTATGCTAATATACTCGAAGGCCCAAATTGTGAGAATTTTTTTTTTATTGAAACAAAAATTATTTTGTGACAAGTTTTCTTGACAATAAATTCAATTAACAGTTACATGAAATTAAACAAAAATGAATGTAATTCTATCATGTCAAAGACTTACTAATAATAAGCTTGTTTATTGGGAAAAAAAAAAACCAAAAACCAATCTTACTAATAAAATTGAGTTGCCAATAATTTAAATAATTCTATTTAATATAATTATAATTTTTTATTTTTATAAATTTTATAACTTTAAACCAAAAAATTAATTTATTTTTATATATTTTTACAACATATATAATAATTATTAAATATTAAGAAAACTAGTTTTAATTAAATTATTAAATAAATTTATATATTTTGTTGTCAATGTGAAAACTTGTCTTGGTCTTAGTTTTTATTTTTAGTAATTACAAAATTTTTAAAAATTAAAGTAAATAATAGAATCACAAGTACATTCAAAGAGTGAGTGACTTGAGTTAAGTGAAAATAAAAGAATTAACTTCCATATTCCAATCCAAAACTATAAAAAATAAAAAATAAAAAATCCCAATCAACATTCATTAAGGATTATTAAAATTGCAAAAAATTTAATATTTACTAGTTTACTTCTTTTTTTGAATAAATTTATAAAAGGTTGGATTCGAAACTGAAGGCTCAAGTGCTACTACTGCTTCACTTATTAATTATTAATATAAAAAAATTATAATATAAACTGTATTATACTCTTATCAAAATAAAAGAATTTCATTAATTAAAATGGTAATGAAACTTGACTATGTGCCACGTGTCATTTCCACGAAAATTGGAGGGTAAATTATTCTCTGAACGAGGATTCACAGAACATAAAGTCATAAACCCCGCCACGGCCACTTAATTTAACAGGCAAAAAAGTGGGGGTATTTTTGTTTATATTAATTTTTTAAAATTTAATAATTATATTTTTTCTGAATTAATTTAAAATCGAATAATTTAAAACAATTTTATTATTATTATTTTATTTATAAAACATAAATTTAATAATTTATTTTAAAAAAATCGAATTTTTCACTTTTACCAACAGCTTGTTTTAGTGGGGGTATTTATATACGATAATTTTGCGTCTTGTTAAAGCTTTAAATTATAAGATGCGAAGTTTGGATCAAGTAGCACGCAAAACACGAAGCTACTTTTTTTTTTTTTTTTTTTTTGGCGGGTGCTGGTGGAGAGTTGCAGGTGGCCGCAGCGGTGGCGGACGCAGACTGAGGGAGCGGCGCAACCACACGCGGTTGGCAGCATTATTGTCACATATATTATCTGCATTTCATCGAACCTCACTCTTTCTCAGCCTTTTCTTTGTCCGAGACATTGGTGACCAGCGGCCACCTCGAGACATTCTCCATTTCGCCCATCCTCGATTCCGCTTTTTCTTCGATCTCTCTCCCCTGAATTTCGTGTTTTTCCAGGAACTTGTCGCTGCTTTGGTACATGAAATCCCTCTTTCTTGCAATTTTCGAGCTTCTCTTTTTTGTTCCCGAGATCAATTTATCCTGTTGTGGATTTAAATTTCTTACCATTGTTGAATATCTGATCTCTTAAGATTTCATTTTCCATGCTTTGAATCAATTTTTGTTGAAATGTGAACAATCTATGAATGCAATTCCTTTATATCCTTTGAGTTTTGATTTCGGTTTGGATAACTCCGTATGTGTGGAAACTTGTCATATTGTTTTGTTTCTTTTGTTTGGAACAATTTGATCCGAAAACTTGTATACATTTTCTTGTTTTTGTTAGGAACAGTGTTCTGAGATTCCTATGACAATCCTATTTATGTGCATTCATTTTTTTTTTTTTTTTTCTGCTAGAACTGTTAGTTCAATGGGGATTTCATTCAAGAGCGTTATTCGTGAGTTTAAGGAAATGAAAGATGGAATTAGTGGTGTGTCAAGGAAAGGTTCAGACTTGAAGCATCTACGTCGCCAATCATATATTGTACCGGAAGCCTCTACATCTTTATGGGCATTAGTTGATCAGGGTCGGTGGGCAGATATGCCACCTGAATTGCTTTTAGATATAATTAGGCGGGTAGAAGCTAGCGGAACCTCATGGCCTGCCAGGAGAAATGCTATTGCTTGTGCTTCAGTTTGTAGGTCATGGAGGGGGCTCACGAAAGAGATAGTTAGGACTCCAGAGCAGTGTGGGTTGCTAACCTTTCCCATCTCTCTCAAGCAGGTACATCTTACCCTTTATACTTTTCTTAGTTCTTCTGTTTTGTCATTTGGTTTTGAGTTCTTATATATTTGGTCTTTTATTAGCCTGGACCAAGAAATGCTCCAATTCAATGCTTTATTAGGAGGGAAAGGGAGACCTCAACGTATCGATTGTATCTTGGTCTGAGTCCTGGTAATTATCACCATTCTTCGTGGTCTACCGTTAACGACTTACCTGTGTGTGCTAGGAACTGGGTTGGCTTTGTTTTTATCTTCGCATTTTTCATTTTTTTGTCCTTTAATGTTTGAATCTCATACTCAACAATTTCTAGTTATCAATTTCTATTGGCAATTTATTACAGATTAGATTCTTCTATAGCTGAATAATTTAGGGTCATCTATTATTGCAGTATGCTTCTTTAGTTTCAAACTTTCAGTTATTTGTTAACTTCTGCAGAGTGTAAGTACAGTTTGGTTTCTGTTAAATGTTTCTGGGTCTTGAAACTTGTGCCATTTTTTAGGATAGCCCAGTTTTGATCTTTTTGGAATTTTATTATCATTAAATGTCTCTTGACACCATCATTCATAAACAATGCACAAAAGCCAAAAATATTCAAATTACTGAGTTCTGTTTTTTTTTTTTTTTTTGGATTAATTTACAGCTTTGTCAGGCAATACAACTAAAATGTTGTTGGCAGCAAAAAAGGTTCGAAGGACCACAAGAACTGAATTCCTGATATCTTTAAATGGAAATGATTTCTCTCGATCAAGTAAAAATTTTGTGGGAAAATTGAGGTAAGCTGAGCTTTTTAGCTACATCATTTGTTAATTGGTCATGCTATTCATCAGCAAAATTTGAACAGGTCTAATTTCCTGGGGACTAAATTCACCATGTACGAGAGTAAACTTTCAAGACAATCTGTAACTGAGTCCAATTTCCTTTTGCATCGAAGAATCCATAGTGAGCAGGTGTGCACCATAGCTTATGAGCTCAATTTTCTCCGAACTAGAGGCCCGAGGAGAATGCTGTGCATTATGAATTCAATCCCAACGTCTGCAATTGAGGAAGGGGGAACTGCTCCAACTCCAATGGAGTTCACAGGTTGCTCTGATGTGCATTTTTCTCCGTTATCATATTCCAATGTAAAGAAGTCACCGTTTAGATTCAGCTCTTCTTGCTCTGCTGAGCCTCGGGAATCAATCCACAGTGCAAGCAGTCCACTGGTCTTGAAAAATAAAGGTCCTAGATGGCATGAACAGTTACAGTGTTGGTGCCTGAATTTTAAAGGGCGAGTTACAGTAGCCTCTGTGAAGAATTTCCAGCTGGTTGCAGCTGTGGAGCCAGGGAAAAACATTGCTGCAGCTGAACAAGAAAAAGTGATTCTTCAATTTGGAAAGATTGGGAGAGACATTTTCACTGTGGATTATTGCTATCCCCTATCTGCCTTCCAGGCCTTTGTAATCTGCTTAAGCAGCTTTGACACAAAACCAGCTTGTGAATAAGAGTTCTCTTCATCTCTTAGTAGGCGAGACAATGATTCTGTGCTGTCCCCCACATATTTGGTTGTACATATTCTCATTCACAATTAATTTAGGCTTTGCCCATTTTCATCGGTAACTGTCTTTGTTCCTCTGCTTACTTCTTTAATGTAGCATCGACAGCATGAAAAGTTCATGGTAAGTGGCACGATCTATATATTTCCAGCCACATTCCTTAAGAGCTGGTAACTTCATCACAATCTATGCATTTTATCTTTTAAGTTTAGAAAATTGCAGATGACATGATAAAGCAACAGGCAGTTGGTGTAAAATTTTTGGATGAAATGCCATCTTTATTGTTGATTTATTGTATTCATTCCTTCCACACGCATACACATACTGTAATGCAATTATTTTGCACTGATTTACGTGTTTAGAAAATCCCTCCTTCCTTATCTTTGTTCTTCTCTCCACAGCTATATTTACATCCATGACGACGTGGCCCCTTAGGGTTATCTGGCTCTGAGTCACTTGGTTCCAGGAAAAGTCCTCTGAGGCATCGTCTTCTTATTGATGGATCATAAGTAAGCTTCTCTGCTGGGATAATGTTGAACTCAGCCTTCTTTGTCTCAATAGGTTCTGACTTAGTACGTGGCTTGGTTTGTTCTGCTAAACTATGAGAAAATACCAGCTTGACTCCTGGATTTCTTTCTGTCACGGAGCTGTCAAACACAATTGAATTATTGATGCTCTGTGTATTACTGTTTACATATGCTTTTGATGCTGAATCTTCTTTGGTCACTGAGTCTTTAGGCTGTTTCCCTTTGTAGCCTATTTCCCCATCTGTAGTTGCTTCAGTGCTGTCATCTGGGTTCGTTAGGTAAGCCCGGTGAATGTGTATTGATTCATTCTTTTTCCCTGATTCTGAACCCAGGCTCATATATGCTCCTCTGTTTTCCCCCGCAAGGGTTACTATTCTGACTGATTCTTCATCCATAGGCAGCTTTGGATGCTCTGTGGTTAGCTTATGAACGAACTTTGAAACATCTTCTCTGATTCCTTGTTGAAGGGGAACTTGTTCCACGTCGACAGGAACATGCCTTTGATGATGATTGCTTAGCTTATGCCTGTCCTCTGGACGTGTTGAACTCACTGGGTCAATTTTCTTCTCATCGGTTGTTGAGGTTATCCATGGCTTCTCAGTCGCAACTTCTAGCCTTTCCGGCTGTGTTTCTCCTGCCTCCAATTTGGTGCCTGGTAGCTCTTTCTCTATGATTAGCCCTTCAACTTTCTTCCCTTCTTCTCTTTTATTCGACTCGGATGATTCAGCAAATGTTTTTACGGCCACTGTCGAAATTGGTACTGTTTCTGCAACCGGGACTGATGCTTGGGGAGATTGGACTGCCACCTTGGATGGTTGTTGAATGGCAGTTTCAGTTGGAGTTTTTCTCCGATCTTCAGACTTGCTTTTTGGTTTTGGTCGAGCCTCTACTGAGGGTTGTGGTGGTGCTGCCAGTTTTGGTTCCTCTTGAGAGGCAGATGGTGGGGGCTTGGGGCTGTCTTCTGTTGTTACTTGCAATTGCTTTGCTGGAGAGGGGGGTTTATATACTGCTTCAGTCATTGCAGGAGCTCGAGTGGTGGCTTTGCGTGTCGGAGATGGTTGTGAGGATGTTTGGCCTGCAATCTGAGAGGCCAAACGAGATGGGGATGGTGGCTTGTGGGCTGTCTGTGCTGTTTGTTGGGACTGGGAAGTGGTGCGGGATGGTGATGGGGGCAAAGATGCAACCCTTGATTGTGTGGCTGCACGAGATGGTGATTGGAATTGAGAGGATGCCCGATTTTGAGTTCTACGAGCCGTTGATGCTGGTGGAGTGATTCTAGATTCAGCGGACCCGCGAAGCGGTGATGGAGGTGGAACAGCGGCTCTGGTTGAAGTTGTTCCCCGAGCTGGTGATGCTGGCTGAGTGGCTCTAGATTCAGCAACTCCACGAGATGGTGATGGCGGCAAAGCAGCATCTCTTATTTGAGTTGCTGGACGAGCTGGTGCTGCTGGCTGTAAAGCTGCCCGCGTTTCACCTGCCGCACGTGGCGGTGCTGTTGCCTGAGGTTCTGTTCTTGCTTGTGGTGCTTGAGCCTGTGGAGGTGGCGACTGTGCCTGCGCTATCCCTGCAGGCCGAAATGGAGGCCGCTGAACAGAGATGTTGGTCGTTGGCTGAGCAGCGCCTTGGGATTGTGCTTGAGCATTGGGACGGGGCGCTTGGGGTTCTGTTGCCTTACGGGAAGCAGTGGAGGATAGCCAAGGAAGTCGGAAACGAAAAAATTGTCTATGATCTCCCATGATTGATTAAGAAAACATGCACAACGGAAATGGACAATATTTGAGGTCTTGTTAAAGGTGAACAGATATACGTATATATAATTTTGTGTTTTATACCTTAGAAAGCGTCTACAATCTTTTACAACAGCGAATTTCTCACAATCTTTCACTTTCTTCTTGCTTTTCCCAGGGGACAAATCCTTCTTTATAAGAAAATCAGGATTCTCTTGCGAGATTTTGCTTCACCGTGCAGTCTAGTATCGATACTTTGCCTGAATTTCAGCTTAAAGAGCATGTTCAAATTTCGTTATTCAAGATTCGTGTGATCCAAGAGTAAATATGAAGAAGGAAGAAGTTAATCTTTTCCTTGATCTAGCCATTCAAGATAAGAATTCCTTCATTATACATTCACAAGTTGTACAAGGCAAGGTATTCCCTACCCTCCTTGCATCGCAGCCATTAAAAGGACCATCCAAGAACAGTTTCATGGCTTCACCATCAAATTATCTAAAAACCATCAAGAGATAGCAGTTTTTATAGTAATTCTACCGTGCAGTTTCAAGATGCAGGGACTAATCCGAGGGGTAAGATCTTGCTGGGAAACGGTCAGGCCCGCAATTATAGAGCAGTCTCGGGGGAGAATCGCTGTAGAGAGGAAGAGCGTGTTCTCGCGTTTTGGATGTGCCACCTCTGAGTCCCAGCAAGAGAAGGGTTTGGAGAACGTAACGGTAGCAGAGATACTCATGACCAAAGGTGAAGAACAAGTTGGGTCTTGGCTCTGGTGCCGCATCAACGACACTGTTGATGATGCCATGAAGAATGTAGGTATCTACAACATTTTAGGAAGCAGAATGAACACCCGTTTCATTCACTTTGAATGTGTTTCAGAATTCAGACAACATCAGCTATTAAAAGAAAACGAAATATTATCCTGCAGATGGCAGAACATAATATCGGGTCATTGGTGGTACTAAAGCCAGGGGAGCAACAACATATTGCAGGAATCATCACAGAGAGAGGTAAAGCTTTTACTGCAACATGATGTTACAAAGAAAGCACCAAAATCACACACACGATTCACAGAAAAAAAAAAAAAAAATCAATGATGGGATCAATTGTATTATGTTTAAGCATATAACAAGTTCACGTGACCCAACAGATTATCTGAGGAAGATCATTGGGCAGGGAAGATCTAAATACACGAGAGTTGGGGAAATCATGACTGATGAGGTTATTTCCAGCAACCTTTGTACAGTTTTTCTCCTAACTCTACAATTTACTAATCTCTCATCTAAACCTACCTTAAATTGATATCTTTCACAGAACAAGTTAATTACAGTGACATCTGACACGAACATTCTTCGAGCAATGCAACTTATGACAGGTAATCAACATATTAACATGCATGTAATAATTCATTATTATGGAAACAAAGTCATTTTTATATCAAATTCTGCAATAACTGATTGCTATTCCAATGATCACAGACAATCACATACGGCATGTTCCTGTCATTAATGGGAAAATAGTGGGCATGATTTCGATTGTAGATGTTGTCCGGGCAGTTGTGGAACAACAAACTGGGGAACTAAAGCGATTGAATGATTTCATCAAAGGAAAATACTATTAGACTGTATAAAAGAACAACTTCATGTCGACTAAGGAAAGCTATTGAAACTATACACAACAGGGCTAAAATGTAACACGCAACAGCTAAGAAAATTGATTGAATAAAAGCTGATTTTCAACCATAATTCCAATCAGCTTTTTACCAGTGGGCAGCCTGTATGTTTTTTGGGCCTTTTTGGGCTTTACTATGATGGGCCTTTATTTGGGCCTTCTGTTTTCTTTTGTTTTTTGGGGTGTTAAAATTTTTTCGGCCAGCAGCATAGATCTTTAGGGGTTGCTACTTGATTTGAAATTTTGAAAAGCAAACGAGTAAAATAGGAGATTAAAAATAAAATAAATTTATAATCAAATTATTTCTCTAAGAATTCGAGTAACAAAAAATAATTAGTATTTACTTATATTTACAAAATGTAAGGTATCACTAATGTTTGTAATTATCAGCTAAAATACTAGCTCTAATTCAAGTTATCAACCAAAATTTTGCAAAATGAATGTAGGCAAAACATCATTCGTAATGCAATTCATGGTTACTCCCCAATTCCCCATGCTTCTAACAAGCAAAGATAATCTATGTGTTCAGCTGGAAAGAAAGTTGATACTTGGCAGGCAAAAATGTTGATGCTTTCTTTACATCTGGAATCCAAACACCTAGGCATTGAAGATTCTGCAAGTTTCAGCTTCTGTTACATCGTCACAGTAGGCTGATCAGTTCCGATGCAAGTAGCTGTCCCTGACAATTCCCATTGGCAGAAATGTGTACTAGAGATTGGATGATATTCTCACTCATAATCAGCTCACGGTATTCAGCATATTCACGACACAAAGAGAGGAGTACGTCCACGGTGTGCTCTTGTTCCTCCTTGGTACCATCTTCCAAGAGTTTGGCAATGGAAGTCATGCATAGGTTGGCTTCAGCAACTTCAATTTTAGCCTCCTCAATTTTGCACAAGTTTTTGATAAGTTGAATGCAACATCCTGTTAGAGTTGGATTGTCCAGAAAAGAAACCAGTTTTGGGACATAATTCAGAAATACAATATGGTAAGCAACATCAGTGTTGATCGAGAGATTACGGAGAATCTTCAAACCAATCTCCTCATATTCTTTGATTTCTGTGTCAAAGACTTTCAGGATGGAAGGCAGAACGCCGGTTGCCAGAATTCTAGAAACATAGTATTGTTGTTGGGACAACAATTCCATGACCGCAAGGGATTCTCCAGCTAGCTCAGAATCCAACAATGATGTCAAAAAATAAATTACATCATCATGGCAGTAGGATAGTTCAACTCTGCATGCAACCAGTGATGTCTTATTAGGATAAGATGTGAATAGGAAGAAAAATAATACCTTCAAAAGCAGGGCAGTGACTGAAGCATTTTCTGGTTCCCATAACAAAAGAAGTTACCCGGAGAGCAAAATTACCTGACAGCGCTCAAAATTGCTAAAAGCACCTCCGCTCCATCTTTCTGCACCTCTGCATCACACATTTCACCTGCATCCTCCAGAAATCTGAGCAGTAGTTTCACATGACTATTTGAAAACGTTAAATGGAAGGCCTTTTTGGTGTCTTTTAGTTGTTCTTTAGCACTTTCTATGACTTTGCATTGGGATCTCCATGAGAGGTTTTCAAGTTCTGAGAGAGAGGCTGCATTGCTTTCATGATCACCTCTGGCCATAGCACAGTCATGCCTTTGTCTGTAAGGATCCTCATTCGCCAAAGGCATCTCAGACATAGAATCCTTGCTATGTTTCCCATCTGACAAATCTGAACTACAATCTGTAAGTGACGGGTGACGTGATAGATTGCTAGTCTGAAGTTGCAAAGCAGCAATGGAACTGCCAAAGCTAGCAATGGATCCAGAAGTTTCTAGTGAGTAAATCCGGGGAAGAGGTAGCTGTGAAGGCTCAGGAATTTCTATTCCGTGCCTTAAACCCCATTTCAAAATGAGGTCTTTTACTGCTATGTTTGGAGTAAGGGAAAGATTCTCCAACCTCAAATGGGTCACCGGACATGTCTGATTACCGTCATTAAACCACTTCTCTATCCAAACTCTCTCAAATGACTGTCCGGAGGCAATAACTATAGGATCATAAAACAGTCTCTCAGACATGGGGCATTTAAATTCTTCAGGGACCTCAGGAATGCCAAAGTCAGCAGAAGAAGCCTCATCCTGCATATTTTCCACCCCATGCTCTGGTGCAAAGGATGCAAAATTGTGTTCATCATGCTGAGGAAACTTCTTCTTAGGTTGATGTTGCCAAATTGATTTCCCATACTTTTCCAAAAGATATAAGAGATAATCTAGTATTTTCTTCTTTATCAAGTCTGTTTTCTGTAGCCTACCATGTAATTTCTTAATAGACCTTCTTTCCACCAAAAGAGCCAAAGGGGATGTAATGTTCAACCTCAAAGCCGCAAATTGAAGGGTCTTGATATCTGATTGGATACTAGAGTTGGATACAGATATGTCCTGTCGAAGCAGAGCTAGTATATTTGCTCCAGCCTCATGTTCAGAAGGTTCTAGAGGAAATTTTGCATTGCTAAGTTCATCTACAATTCCAGATACCTGTAAATATATGTTTTAGTGTGTGAAGAACATAGCACGTAGCACATCAGTTCGTGTTGTCAATATTTTTTTATTCCAAAGACAATATAATGCCTAAACCTAACAAATAAGATTTAAACTCAGCAAACAAGTGAAGTTTCATTTTTCCTCATAATTCATTCCTGGAAAATAAGAATAACTCAGAAGCTAAAAGGGGAACAAACCTTTGCAGCCAATGATGGTGGAACCATATTTTGTACTTGACTCATAGAGTGCCCCAAACTATTTCGAATTTTTTCACATCTAAAGAGTATCTTGTCGGCTGTAATTGCCTAAAATATGTGATAAATATAATTATCAGCCAAAATAATATAACAGAAAATCCTGAATGTAAACATAATTGGGATATTCATTACTTTTAACTTCAAAAAACTCTAATTTAAAACTCTGCTTTTATTCCAAAACTTTTCTCCAGTTTGGCACATAGTGTTTCCACAAAACTCAATAGCATTTACTTTTTGTATGAATAAAAACAACATCAGCAACTGACAGACATACCAAGTAGAGTTTGCTGGACTCAGTGCAGTGCTGGATCAATAACTTGGCTTTTTCCATTGCCGCATGAAGTGAGCATAATGCTTGTATTCCTGATGTGCATCCTGGCCGAGCAGCCTCAACAGCTAAAAACACATATGAAATTCGATCAATGTATTTGTTAAGCTCTTGGCACATTAACCGATGCATCTGCAACCATAAGTGATAATCAGAGAGGAATGTTTAAGTAGTAGCAAACAACTGCGCAAGAACTAAAGGAAGAATCAAGTTGGAATCAATAACTTATCTATAGAAAGGAAAGAAACAAAGCCGATTAGATATAGCTCAGAGGTAAAGAACAATATCTTTGGAAAATGAAAAAAAAATGATGACTAAGTTGGAAAAACTTATTATCAATTACCTTAATTCTATTATAAGATGGAACTTCCACACTCTCAGTAGCAGCTTTCCCCATCAATAGAAAAGAGTAGTAGTCAATCTGCATGTGCAGAGAGACAATACAATTATCCCAATGATTTTAAAATCAAAAATCAAAGTTACTCAGGAGGACAATTTCAAAACAAACTTAATTACAGCAACAAAATTGGTGGCAAATTACAAAATTACGCAGGTTTCTTTGACCAAATCCTATATGCGTCTGAGCCAAGCCCATGACAATAATTTCTAAGTAAGGATTAAGATACTTATAAGTCATAGGCAAAAAACGTAAGCACTCTAGAACAGGACAATCAAGCAAAGTAGTAATTAAGGAGCATCAGTGTCATGCATGCTCAGGAGCAATGAGTCTTTCTTCCCTTTCAATAGGTCAGTTCGCATGCAAAATAAATGAAAGAAAAACAGAATTTTCTGAAGCTTACCTAGATGCTCGACCAACAAAAAAGCCAGAATGAAATCCACAGGAGATCCAATACAGAAGAAACACCAAAACTGCCTGCATAATCAATTACCTAACATCAAGAAGTCCCTGAAATATGTCCAGTTTGGCAAGAAGGAGGAGCCTTGAGACAGAAACTAGATGGTCAAGGGGGCGTGAAAGTGGCTGTATTAACATTTATGATGAGAAGACTGAGGCTGAAGGGGAAGAAAACAGCGAGGTTTTTCAAATAGTAGAGAATGTTTCTGTTTCTCTGGCCGAACGTCCAAAAAAGCGTAGGGAGAAAAATATGAGAAGCAGCAAGCCACACCGTCCATTGACCAAAAAGTAAACAAGAATAATTAAGTAATAATGATATTTATCTAAAAGCATTAAGAATTCATTTTTCTTCGAGTTTCAAACACTGTATATCTGCACCTGACCCTTCAAGTGGCTTTCGGGTTATTTTAAAGTTTGCAGTCCCACTTAGACAAGGCGGTTTGAAATTCGAATCCCATTCTTATTATTTTGTTAAAAAAAAAAAATACTGTATACCTAATCAAGCCCTAGCATCACTGCTGAGCTCGTAATATGTATCAAATATTTTTATGTATATCAAGTTTTAAGTTTTTATTAAGATATTTATAATTTTTTTGTCTCAAAATTTATTTTTATTCAAAAAATAATATATATATATATACATATACTTAACTAAAATAAACAAAATTATGGCCGACTTTATTTTGATATTCATATTATGTGAAATGAAAACTCTATATATAAAACACTTTTAATCAGTATAAATACTTTTAATTATAATGATGTTGCAGTTTGTGATAAATTTTTTTATTTAAAATTATGGTAAATTAATACATATCAATTTATTTAATATTATATTATATAAATAACATTACACGTGTAAGAAATATTAAACCCTATAGTGTAAGATAAGAATGCTTTCATAACAATATATTGTTGTTTCTATCACAATTATTTTTTTACTCTTTTTTTTTTCCATAGAAAATTTCTGCAAACTGAATAGGAGTAGGGTCTCACTCAAACATCTTAGACAAAGAGTGTTTAGCTTAACCTTCTTCTTCTCCTGGGTAAGTAGAAACTAAGAAACAACTCAGAAACACACACACACATGCTCAAGGTCAAATAATATTCCAAGTTATACGGGTGACAAAAGGTAAGTACAAGTTCAGTACTAGATCACTTGGTGATTACTCTTTTAATAAAAA